GGAGGAGGAGGGGGAGGAAGAGGAGGTCTAAACCAACTCATGCATCTGGGAGGACATGATAGCTTTGTCCGCTGCAGATGCCCTTCAACCCTGGCATGTGGTCATGCTGCAATGGGAAATTCCCTCCTTCTCCTTTTTAGCATCATGTTGTTATCCTCTCTTACCTCCAAATCCTCCTGTTTATCTCTCTTGCCTGACACAGGAGAACTGACAACTGTTCCGTTGTTTGTCTACCAAGATGTGGTTAAAAGGAACTTTGGTTTCTCAGGGAATAGAATCTTTTTAAGCAAGAGACAAAGAAAATGAGTGGACAGTTAAAAACAAGGGTCCACATAGAACTGGATGCTTTACCTCTGGCCTGTTATATCAGCGGCTAGGGGTTAAGACCATCAGCTCGGAAACCAGACTAACTGTGGTTAGGTCTCTACTCCCTCTTCATGTGACAGTGAGCCACCACTCACATGCCTGCTGGGAGAAATATGTGAGACAGTGTACCTTAAAGCACTTAGCATAGTGCCTGGTGACCAGTAAGAGTGCAATCCATACTAGATAATTGCCTTTATCTTGGAGTCATTGGCAGGCAACAGGTTTGCAAAAAAGCATTCAATTTAAATCAGGAAATCTAGGTCTGCCAAGGGCTCTAACACTAAGCCAGTCAGTCCACCTCTTTGAACCCCTGTTTCCTCATCAACAAATTGGGGATAATCAAACCCATCTGGCAGAATTGTTCCAAGCTTCAGGGAGCTACTGCATGGGGAAAGTGCTCTCAAGCTATTATGTGATATGCTAGCATCACTTAATGTAATCATTTCCAAGCTAGCTCCAGTCCTCTGGGATTGCTAGGCAGATGCCATCTACATAAGTTTGTTGAGAATATAAGCTATGCCAGTCATTGGGTAATACCTAAAAGTACCCTAAGAGTTTAATGATGCAAAGCCTCCAAATTGATAGTAAATAGCATGGCTTCCTTTCAGCTGAAAGTTTACAGTGGTTTGAGCCCTTAAAACTACAACTTAGTGTGGTCATTTGTCACCATTAAAACTCATGCTGAGATTTAATTGCCAATGTGACAGTATCAAGAGGTGTAGGGGCCTTTCAAAGATGGTTGAGGGTCATGGAGTCTCTACCCTCACGTACAAATGAACGTAGCTCCTTGCAAGAGTGAGAGTGCACTGTGACAAAGCGAGTTCTGCTTTCCTTGGCTCTCTCTTGCGTCCATTCTCATCACGTGATCTCTTCTGTATGGGCTATTTATCCTTCCTCCCACGGTGAACCAAGCAGATAGTGACATGATACACTTGGGCTAGCAGAAACCATGAGAGGAAATAAACCTCTTTTCTTTACAAATGGTTCAGTTTCCGGTGTCCCATTATAGCAGCAGAAAATGAATTGGAGACACCAAAAGATGAAGCAGTCTGGGATCCCCAGATAGACATCACAATGACAGCCATTCATGGGCTGCTCAGACCTGACCCAAGCATGCCAATGGAGTATCCAATGATCTGAATGCCTGGCTCACATTAGAGAAATTTTCAACCTTCGAGGTTGATCTCTGGAGGTCCTTGTCACTTTGGTCACTCTCCAAGGTTAAGTGAACTGACTCACATGAGTTCTGGGGTAGGTGAAGCATCTTTATCCTGAGTTCTCTTAACTCATGGAAGTCTTGGGAGGTTATAAAACAGGAGAATAAAAGGGAAAACGACAATGGTAGAAATCTGAAAGAACGAGGAGACAACTCGGGCTTTCCCCAACCAGCTTTGCCTCCTCAGGTAAAGGGAGAGGAAGGGTGGCAAGGTTGCACCAGAGCAGCTCTGAAGAGGAAGCAGTTTGAGGAAGAATGGGCTGCAAAGCTCAGGGGAGGTTCCCCGCTCCTGGGGAGGGGAGAGACACATACACTCAGCTGACCACAGGACAGCAGCTCTTTGTGGATGCCTCTGGTCTGAGGAAGGGGTCACAGGCCAATACTACATGGGGTAGGAGGCGGAACCCTAGGCAAAATTGGGAGAGAGGCAATGCTGGACCCCATCCTCCTCTTCATGCTTTGAGCTTTACCCCATTTCCTCTTAGCTGTGGTTAATGGGGGGGGAGGTCCCTTGCATGTAATTTCTACCTTTCTGTTCAACTAAGGACTCACTGTGGCTTACCAGAGGCCCAGAGCCTCTTCCTGCCCTCCCTTACCCTCTCCTCCCTCCTCAAGCTCTCTTTTCTATTTCCCTCCTGTCTATTGCTTCCCGCCTTTCTTTTTGGGTCCCCTGTTAGCTCTTGCTGTCTCTAATGTCTCCCCTCAGAATCCACACATTCAAAACTGCTTCTTCCCTGCTCCTCCCTGCTCAACACCCTCCCCATTTCTCTCTTTTCTGTACTCCTCTTTGCTCCCCTCCTCCTGTTCCCATTTCTCTGCTCCCCTTCCTCCTCTCTGACTTCTCCTTCCCCTCCCTTTTGCTTCTCCTTCTGCTTTCCTGGTCTAACCTTTGTCAGCCCATCCTTTCAAGATTGAGATTTTGATTCTCTGCGTCTGGCTTTTAGAACTTGTCAGGTGGAATCAAATCATAAGTATAGCTGTCATAAAGCCCAACTCTTGTGTCTGGGAAAGAATAAATAAGGTAGGAAGAATGGGTGGTTCGTGTCTGAATGTAAGATGGACCTAATGATAAAGCCATTGTGTTGTAAATTTTCCATAAATATAGACTGCTTGTATTTCTCTGTAGCCTCCATACAGCCTAGCCAAACTCCCAAGATATGAAAACTACTCAGTCACTATCTATCAAAGTACTGACTCAACCAATAGATGAACGAATAGAAACATAAGTGTGGCCTTATTTCACTTGAGCACATATAATCATGGTAGCAATGGAGCCAGAGAGTAGAGATGTATGCCTATGGTGAGGCTTGGAAATCCTCTGGTGAAAGTACACATTTGCTTACAGTTAGCCTAACTATGATTAAAATGTAAGTGCTGCTTCTTGCCCTCTGCAATGAGCTAGCATTTTCCTTGCTGACATAACTAATTGTCTTGATAAGCCCACTTTTATAAATACAAGTAGACTTCCCACGCACAGCTTCTACAGACCAAGCATTGGCTCCACCCATGTCCCTCAATGAGGCAAGATTATCTACCTTTCTCTGCATCTGACCTGTTCACTGCTGCTCCTGCACAACTCTCTCACACACACACAATAAATGTTGCTTTTGTGCCTTCTTCATGCCAATCTGTGTGCTGAGCACTTTATCAAGATTATCTCATTTAATTCATATAACACTCCAAAGAAGGTACCAGTATTATCTCTGCTCTTCAGATAAGAAAACTAAGGCCAAATTTGCTAAATCTGTCTGGTTTACACTACCGAATGTGTTCCAGGGCATAGGCATTGCAGTTCTGAAACCAGGATGGTCCCAAGCAAGCCATCCCACATTTCTTAGGGCTGGGGAATTTCCCCAAGACATGGGATTTTTAATGCTGAAACTGGGCGAGCCCCATGCACACTGGATGAGTTGATCACCCTACTCGAGTCACATGCCTGAGGCCACACAGCTGGTTCACATTACAGTCAAAACCATCCTATCTGACTCCACAGCCCTATTTCTAACTCCCCAGCCTTGCCCAGACAACCACTTATTCTGAATTCCTGGCCACCCCTAACATATCCGGCAGTCATACCCCAGCACCACTGTGTTAGTCCACTGTCCATCACTGTACCAAATACCTAAGATTATCAGCTTATATGGGGGTTATAGCTTGGTAAAAAGCAAAGAACAAAAGAGAGAGAGACCAAGATTACTCCCTCTCTTTCTCTCTCTTCCTTACACACACACACACACAGCAATAAATTATATTAAAACCTCCCATTAGGTCCTATCTTTTAAAAGTTCTACCACCTCCCCTCAGTGTCAAGCTGGGACCAAGCCCTTAACACATTAGCCTTTGGAGAAACATTGACGATCCAACCTATAGAAACTTATCTTCCAGAAAAGCCTCTTCTGAGCATGGTAATGGATGCCTATAATCCTAAATACTAGTGGAGTAAACATCAGGAGGATCATGGTTCAAAGCCAACCTGGGCAAAATAGCAAGATTCCATTTCAACCAATAAACCAAGCTCATACCTGCAATCCCAGCCACTGGGAAGAAAAGGTTAGGAGGATCAAGGTCTCAGGTCAGCCCCCGGCAAAAATGTAATATCCCTGTCAAAAAGTAACTTAAAAAAATAAAAAGGATTGGGGACATGCTCAAGTGATACAGTCTGACCCTGGCTAGCATGAAACTCTGAGTTTAAATCCTGGTGTTACCAAAAGACACTCTTTTCCACTAAAAACAACA